ATAGTTTTGTCAAGTGGTGCTTGGCACATAATAAGCACCAAGTAAATGGTCAAGATTATCTTTACTGTGTTATCTCTTCACTGTTTCCTCAGTAATAGCCCAAGGGTGGAAACTTAATGGAAAGCTTCTCATGAAATCATCAGTTTAACTTAATCACTCCAAACACTTTGCCTGTGAAAGCTGATTTAAGAATCCTTTACATCTTTTAATTTTTTTAACCTCCAGAAAATCTTCATGATTTAAATGTGAGTTTTCATATATTCTGTAAAATTTATGGAGTAACAATTACACAGAAACTCTACTAAAAATAAATTTCATTTCACTTCTCGGGGTTTCTCTCCTCGTTTATAGAATAAGCAAGTTGATCAGTGATTTCTAAGGTTTCTTAACCACTTCAAACACTGAATGACATTTTTGGCCCCCCAAATAAAAAAACACAGAAACACTAGATTGGCCCTGGCAGTACTTAATGTAAATCATAGCCAAAATAACCCAAGCTTCTTTGAAAGAGTACGGAGCATTTCCAGTCGCTATTTTCTCACTTCAATGCATTCTTCTACTTTTCTCATCTCCCATCCTCTGAAACCGCTCTGAGGTCAAACAAAGCCTGTAGACACTTTCCTGTCCGCCTCTTGCTGTACTTGTCTGTAGTGTTTGTTGACCACTCTCCCCTGCTTTAAACTCCCTTGCCTGGGCTTTAGCATTTTTTTTTTTCTTTACAGTTACCTATTGGTACTTCTAGAGCACCTCACGGGGCTTACACCTAGAATTGGGTTCAGTAGGTCTAAGCTTGCAATCACCCACGGAGAATGCAATGGGCTTGTCAGGTGTACTAACATGACCTGAATTGATGTTGCACATTCCGAGTAGACCACATCAAAAGCAGATAAACCACTTAGATAAACACATGGAATCCTGTGAGAATGGCACGTAAAACCATGATGGTGGTGAACTGACAATTGGATGATTTACTTATCCTGTGTGTGCTCATCCTAGCATCTCAGGATGAGGAAAGATGAATAGGAGGGATTGCAAAGGAAAATTTTCCACTTAAAGCACAGCTTGCCTAGGAGATGTCAACTACTATTGTGTTTCAGCACAACAGGCTGAAAGCTGATGTGACTCCGTAAACCTCCATGGCCCTGGAAAGTCAGACTCTTCTCATTGCACTTAACTGAACATTTTCCTGACAAATGAACAATAGGATTTTTTAAAAAAGTTTTACCCAATTGTGTACAGACCTATATATTCATTTTGTCCCATATTCAGATTACCAGTATCCAAAGCTTAATCAGCATAACTCCCACAAATGCCCCCTTTCTAGCACTTAAAAACCCTTGACTTTTTCCTATTTAAATTAGGTAGTAGTTTTAAGTTTAATCTTTATTCACTGATCCCTCTTAATATAATTTTTGAAGGCTGTAAGTTAAGAGTACAGGACCCATTTTTTGTAACACTAAAACAAATGTAAGGGTAAAATGACCATTAAAATAGTAAATTATTTCAGCAAAAAGTTAAATTAACAGTAGAGAGACATCAGAAAGTCACAGAGAATAAAAATGTTTTAGTCAGACAAGATTCTGCAGATTTAACATCTGTTAAGTCACAAACTACAATTTCTTTAAAAAAAAGCTAGAAATTTTAATATGTTGACCTACAAATTTTTAATTTTTGAAGTAACAAAGTTGTTTTTGACATAAATAACTGTAATATTAAGAAATATTGTCCTAATTTTTCTAATACTTCTTTGCCTAATTAGTAATGTTTAGTAAAATTAAAATTATTCATTAGCATGAATTAGGAACATTTCTAACAAGGATTTTATATTACATATGAATTCGGTAGTTTCTAAATTAATGCCAGATATTCTAAATGTTCAAGCAAGTATTATTTCTTTCTGAGTCAGTGTAGTTTATTTCAAACAGAATTTTTATAGCATATATGAAATGTAATTAGGGTATAGTGTTAGTAGGTTAGCTTCGGGGAATTATGTAACAGAAGAAATACATATAAAGCCGGAATTCAATCTAATTTAGTTTTAAAAATTTGTTCAGGTTGATTGTGACAGAAACAAAGCTTAAAAAAGAAACCAAATTATTACCTTGTTTCGACAGAATCATTAATGCAAATTTGGGAGTAATAAGTACATGCAAGAGAAAACAAAAGTAAAAGAAGAGCTACCCATGAAGTCAACCACTCGAATAAGAAGAGTACTGATAATCCAAATTGTGAATGATATTTTAAATAGGAAGCTGGAGGAACTCATGTTTAGTGGAGAAACTAAATAAATGGTAGCAATGATACGAATTTATAAAGAGTGACTTTTACCTGATCAAAGCTTCAGTTCCATGATATAGAATTATTTCTGTGAAATGAAAATGTTCTCAAGTTTTTAGAACTAAAAACTTTTTATCCTAATATTAGGTTTTATCCTAATGTTATTAGGATAAAAGTTTTTATATAAAACTTTTAATATAAGTTTTATCCTAATAATATTAATTATTCAAGTTCTATACCTTGACTTACTCTGATTCCACGAACTCTGTATTAGTTTTCTAGGGCTGCCAGAACAAACACCACAAACTGGGTGGTTTACAGAAGATAGTTTATTTCCTTACAGCCTGGAGGCTAGAGGTCCAAGATCAAGGTGTCCAAGATTGGCTTCCTTCTGAAGTCTCTCTCCTTAGCTTGCAGATGGCCCCCTTTCGCCTTTGTCATGACAGGGTCTTCCCTCTGTCTTACTCTCTTTTTATAAGGGTGCCAGTCATATTGGATTACGGCCCACTTACATGACCTCATTTTACTTTCATTCTCTCTTTCAAGGTCTCATCTCCAAGTATAGTCATTCTAAGATACTGGGGGTTAAGACTTCACCATATGGACTTTAGGGGGTACAGTTTAGCACATAACTAATTCCAATATCCTTTGGCTTATCATTTGAATTTTTAGAAAGAACAGATTCAACAGCAGAATATACTATTTAAGGCAATACTGGTATTCTTCTCTATAGGATATTGATAATTCTTACAGTAGTGAGAAATTATTCTTCTGATTTAATAATTTATCACTGTACATTAACTTGATCATGTAAATCTATCCCTGGGAGATGTACTGGGTTGGCCAAAAAGTCCATTTGGCTTTTTTCTGAAAAATAAAAGACACATTTTTCATTTTCACCCATAACTTTATTTATTTGGATATTTTGAGTGTGTCGGCTATCTCCCGTGAGGAATAGCATTGATTGTTCTCAATTAATGCCTCGATTTGATCGTTATCAACTTCAACTGGTCTACCTGACTGGAGTATTGTCCAGTGAGAAATCTCCAGCATGACACTTCGTGAACCACTTTTGACACATTTGATCAGTCACACAGCACATTCTTCATACACTGTACAAATTTTCTTGCATTTTAGTTGCATTTTTACCTTTCTTGAAATAATAAAGCATAATATGCAAAAAATGTTGCTTATTTTCTTCCATCTTCAATATTAAAATGGCTACAAAGAAATTCATCAATTTTGATTTTTTTAAATGTACACTAATATGACACCTGTCACAATATAATTTAACAAAAATTGTTTTGAATGAAGTTAAAAACAACTCAATGTTACTAGAGCATTTTACAGAAAAATCCAAACAGACTTTTTGGCCAACCCAATATTCCCTTCCAGGTCTCCCAAACAATCTGAATTTTGAGCCTGCTTTGCCAAATCCTCATTTATCTCGTTTCATTTTCCATTTGAAGAATCCACTACTGTGCTAGCCTAGGTTCCCTAGAGCCTACCATAAATAACAACAATCAACTGCTGCCACTTTATTGAGGGGCACTATTTCTGTGATGCAGAAGTTAGGAAAAGGTGGGAGTGAGGCAGGCAGTGGAAAAGGGAGTGCAAATATAGGTGATACTGAGCTGGCCATAGCTTTGGAATAAGTGCTGTTAATTTCTCAGTGTTTTAGTGTATTTTCATGGAGGCCTACAGATTATTGCACTTTGGAACAAGCCACCTAGGGGAAAGGAAGGGAGAAGAATTTATCCACCAGCTCCTTCTTGTGCTGCATCTCTGGTGAAGTTCACCCCTCAAGTAGGGCTGCCAAATTCAATAAACAAACAAACAAATAAATATTCCCATGCAATATTAGTAACAGAATTACACTAAAAAGTTATTCATTGATTTTCTGCAATTCAAATGTAACTAAGCGTCCTGTATTTCACCTGGCAATTCTACTTTCAGGACATTAACACCCACACATTCCCAGGCAGCTTCGAGGGAAGCTGAGCCTCCACAGACACTGCAGAGGTGCCAAGGTTGGTTTCTCCTTCTCAATACAGTAGTGTGGCTGTGGTGGTGATAATGAAAGTGACACAGTAGCAGTGACTCCACTCTGGCACCACAGGGCAGCTCCAGGCCACCGGCCAGGGGGCCAGGCGAGAGTTAGGGACGGTGATGGGAAGCGGTGTGGGCAGGAGCACTGCAGGCCTGGCTGCATGGATGTGGGGTGATAAATAACATAATGAATAAGGATGAATCAATACTCATTATACTGTCCTGTTAGTATCTGTAGGACCATCCTGCATTAGTCAATGGAAATACACTAGTAAATAAGGCAGACAGAGTTCCTGCTCTCAGGGAGCTTAGAGAATATGGCTTGAATATTGTGTTGAGTCATGGTTAAAGAGAAAACATAATGAATGCTAGTGAAAAGGTATAATTTTAAGCATACCAACTCACTAGATAGATGTTTTTCTAAATGACTACTTTGGCGAAAACTTGTTACAAAACCCCAAGACTCCAAAGCTATTACATGTATTTCTTTTTTGATGCTTCTAAAAAGATACAGAAAAGTATTTCATGGCCTCCATTAAATATTGGAACTATTATTCAGTAAAAAAGAAAAATTTGTTTGTATACAACACTTCAAAGAAGAAGTTAAAACACATTAAATAGTGCTTTTTATTTATAAGGCAGATCTATGAGAATGATATAAAAACATGGCATGTAATTTGACAGCGATAATTTGGAGATTACAGAGTCTTAGCAAATATCTATCACACAGTTACAAAGAAGACCTGTCTAAGCATATACAAAATATCTAATCAAGGATCAAGGCAAGAAGATGAGTATAATTAATTTACAATGGAAAATCAATTCTAATGTGAACTGCACATTATCCTTTAAAAACTTTTAAAGGTAAGAATTATTGCATTCTAGTTCATTCAAACAGTGTAAAACGGTATCATGACAAAAAACAGAAGCCAGAATGGATTGATTGTGACTTCATATAAAGAAACTCAAATTTACAATGGCTTAAGTATAGGAAAAGACATTCCAAGTAGTGAAGTAGTCAAGATCTTTTTAGTCTCTAACATCCTTTCCGTAGTGTGCGGCCTTGGTCCTCTTGGATATGCCAAAGCGCCCACAATTCTGACAGCAAGATGGGAGAATAAGATAAAGAACACATGGTTTCCTTTGAAGAGACTTCCATTCCGGGAAGTCATTCATCCATTCCCCCTACGTCTGGCCGTTGAACACTAAGTCACACGGGAATACCTGACTGCAAGGGCAGCTGAGGAATTTGATGGAAAGCCGCTTTTAAAGAAATAGCGTAACTAGACGTTGGGAGAAAACTTCCAGTTCCTGTTCAGATTGAATATCTGAAAAACTATGGAAAACCTTTAAGGAAAATCTTAAGAGAATATTTCCTAGAAGTCGGCATTTTGGAAATCATACAAAAGTACCTGCTTTGGTGATTTAACTTAGTCTGTCTAGTCCCTGGGAGTACCCACTTAGCCTGCCCTAATTTTGAATGATGGCACGATGGAAATCCAATGATTTGGAAAACTAACAGTCTCAGTATGTATTTGTTTTAGGCTGAACTTAAACATTTTTCTTGGTTATCATATGGACAGAATATTAGCACTTTATAATTTTTCACATAAAAAAATTGAAGAACCTTTCCATTCCTGTAAAATTTACTGTTCAATGGTAAAAACAGATTGTGTTTCCACTAAAATCACTACAGTTTCATTTACAGCAATTACATATACTGAATATATACCAGAATTTGTTTTACTGGCTTACTGCCTTACAATCAATCGAAGGAGGAGCATCTCCTTTTCTTGATGACATATCACAAATATTAATCTTAACACTGGACAATGTGAGCTATACCATGTGTAGCACTACTGTAAGTCATGAATTTACAAAATAATTTCAACATAACATTTTAAGCTCTTTAAATACTTATTTCAAAACAGATTTTATAAGCTGACACAGGTTCAGTATTTATAGTATTCCTAAAGAAATACTTACAAATTACATTTATGGTACTTCATTTAAAATATCACATAAGAAACGTTAAGTTTCACAAATAAATCTCTTTTAGGGGGAACTCTCTGTACAGAATTTATTATGAAATAGTTTAATGGCTAAAGGCAATTAAGAAGAATTAGGGTTTTATCATATTACATAGGAGATAAATACAAAAATTGGACATGATGTATTCTTGAAGCCCTTTTATACAAATTGTTTTAATAATTTGGCTGTATGAATATACCTTATGTTACTATTATCAAATTAATTTCAAAAGCAAAATTCCTTAATCAAGTCAGGATTACGCCAATTTATAAGAAAATAATCAAGTAGTTTAACACTGGAGCTCATTAGCCAATCCCGTATGTAGCACAAAATAATCATCTCTGATAAATACCTATAAATATAATTTATTCATAGTTTAAAATATTTTAAAATTTAAATAAAAATCTCTACATGTAGACAATCTCAGCTAAATTTCCATGTATGTTTGAAAAATATATGCCAGCATGAATATATTCATATTAAAACATGACTTTAAAAATTATTAATAGAGGAAACGTAAGACATCTGCACAAAAAAGCTAAGTAGCATGATTGATTCAGTCTAGGGATATTTTCTTCTTAGGAAAAAATTACTAGGTTTTTTTTTTTTTTTGCATAGGATTAAGACTGGATATATTTTCTACATTCTTATCATTTTCTCAGGGGCACTTCTCAAAATACAGATTAGAAAACAAATCTCTGTTACTTCAAAGTATCCACCACTTTTTCACATCTAGCAAGAAAAGAATTCAGTCCTACTTCTGAGGCCAGAGTAATGATTTAAAAAAAATAATTATGAAAAACAGTGATGAAGAAAAACAATCACATGGGAAATAGTAAGATAAAGATATTAAAAGTCAATTAAATAAAGTAATAAAGTCAATATTTTTGCACTTTAGAAAGGCTTTTAAATATTTAGAATTATAATGAATATATTACATTTATTCTAAAGCTTCAAAATCGATTTCATCTTTGTAAAGGAGAAAAGGAAATAGCATTTGAAACAAGTTATATTTTATATACATTTTCATAAACTTTGTTTTTTTCATATTTTTAAAGAATGCATTTATCTCTAATAGCTATTTATATTTTTGGCTACTTAACATGTATGTGCAACAATATACTTCAATAGTTATCTACCTTTTAAAAATACTTCATTGCGTTTTCACATTAAATGGTGAACATAGTCTTAAGACAGTAAAACTTAAGGAACAAGAAAGTATTGAAAATAGGCTGTTAATTTCACTAGTCCACTATAATAGTTTACAGGTGTTTACCTTTAAAAGTTATCATCCAACTGAATTCCCACTAAGAACTACCAAGTAAGTGATTGTCAAGAGGGGAAGACTATCATTAAAGAAAATGGGGAACTCAGCTGAAAAGTAAAAGCTATTTAAAATTCATCAGGAACATTAGAGTCATGAGTGATTTACCAACTGAAATAATGCGTGGTAGGGAAAGAGCCACTGGTGGAAAAGGCAGCCTCCGCTGAGTACAAGTCTTTTTATTTTTAGCAGCTGGATTCAGTAGTACTTCAGAGGGTATAAGTTTAGAAATGTTATAATTTCAGAGGAATGCATATAATATTACCTTGTCTGCAATTTTTATTTTAATAGGAAAGAGCACATGGGACAAAAATGTAGGGCATTCTAACCAAAATTTGAATAAAATGCGATTTTAATGTGGGACGTCAGCACTGAAAACATTTATGAATAATTTGTATGGTTGTATGTCTCTAGAGTAGATTTATAATTAACTTACCCTATATCCTTCATGCTTGCAAACTGATCCCAAATGAATGGTTGAGCACGCAGGAGGACTTCTCAAGAAGAGAAAAGGAGATAAGCAACCTCCAAGGACTTTTTAAGCTTCTGTAGGACCATTTATTAAAACTGCCATGGTCCTACCTCTGCCGGTGTCCCTCACTGCACTGAGAGGCATATGGGCTGCCATGGGTCTCCAGGGTCATGTCCCAGGCAAGATTCTCCCCCAAGGTAAGTCATTGTGGATCATCCCACAGTTTCATAACCACAACTCACTCTCAAGGATCCCAATGCCTTTATACAAAAGAGAAAGGATATAGATTGGCATCATCATGAATATAGTGCATGCGGATGGAGCAGGGGCCAGGCAGCCTGGTGGTTAAAATCACATCCTCTGGCAAATTACTGCCTGGACTTGAATGCTAGCTCTGCCACTAATTCCATGACCTTGGGCAAAATACGTAACTTCCTAGCCTTCAGTTTCTCCTATGTAAAATGAGGATAACTAGCTCTGTCATGGGATTATTTTAAGTATTAAATGGGATAATACAAGTAAAGTGCCCAGGGCAGTTCATGGCATGTTATAACCCCTCAATGAACTTCTGTAGAATCCTACACCATAGAGAGTGGTGACTGGCTAAGCTGCAACAACATACGCCAGTTGACAACTACATGCGTGTAAACCTAATACTCTCCTTCTAACTAGGAACAATGATAAGATTTCCAGGATTGGTACTGTATTAGAAAAATCAGTTTTATAGCCCAAGTATTACAGTCTTCTCCCTGACAACACATTAATATTCTAATGGGACTGCTTTGTAACAAGATAAAGAAGAAAATCTTTCATGAGGTACGCATTATCAGTATATCTTTCATGTCTCCAATGTATTTTAAATATAATTTCAGGTTCAATTTGTATTTTTAGTTTGTATTCACATAATCACATTCATTCACAAAATTAGTGACATTTTTCAAATCCTATCTTATGAGAGAAGTATAGGAATATTACTATGTACCCTTATCTAAATGCTAAGGTAATGTGTCCTTTCTTTAAAAAATATATGATTATGTATTTCTATTTCTTACACTGGATAATCATTAAAACCTTACTTGGGCTTCAGAAAAAACTTACCTATTGAATTATATTAAAACTTAAAATTCTGCTGGTTTGCAAAGTGTTTTTAACATTATATGGTATCTATATTATTAACTATAAATATTTTTGCCTGACTGTGGAATTCAGTTTGTTAAAATAACAATGTCAGAGTTGTGCAAAACAAAAAAAAAATACCTAAATTTCAACAATAACTACAGAAACTTGTATTTTCACAAATGACATCTGTGAAAATTAATCTGGAGAAAATTCTACCACTATTTGGCTGAGATCACACGAAACAAGTTTCAGCCCAGAGCAATTTGACAGTGTGCTGGCAACTGAACACAGAGAAAGTCATAAAAGTAATGGCATGAGTAAGAATGCTTTATGGCCTCCGCGAGCACCATTTACCATCACATTACCGTGACCCTCTCTGGTGAGAGGTGAGGAACTGCTCCTCCAATACCTTCTTCTAGAAATTGGCTCTTTTCCCAGCCTTTTTTAATTCTTCTTAGCTTTTGGCTTATACATGGAAGAAGTAAAATGCTCTTACCCAGGATTACAATTGAGGGCAAAACAAGAGCAAGAACAAAGTTCGGTGGTGTATAAAACCTGTAGTACTCTTCTTCAAAAGCTCGTTTCCATCCATAAATTAAAACGTGGAAAGTGCTTATGAGCAGAGCAACATAACCTAGTGTAGACTTCAAGCAGAGGAAAAAGAAAAAAGCAAAGAATAAGAAATAAATTATTCAAATTCATAAACAAACCTATCCCACTCTACCATGTTTATATTTTGATAAAACTATTTTATCTTAAATTGTTGGGCTACTTTTTGTTCTCTACTAAATTAAACAATTAAACATTTTCATATATATTTATATGCTTGCTTTATTTTACACAAATAAAACCATACTGTATATAATTTAATATTCTGATTATTTCATTTATTATATGAAGCACTTTTTCCTCATGTCATTAAGTATAAAAACATGACTCTAATGATGTATTATATTCCATTGAATGGATGTGCTATCTATAATGTATATGACCATTCCTTTCATTGATCATTTACTCCGTTTCCAGCTTTCCTCAATTATAAATAATGTCACTTTAAACCCTTTTCTATATTTTGGTTTATTTCCTTAGAATTGATTTCTTATGGTAGGATTGCTGATTAAAACATCTGGCTTTACCTTAAGGGTGTTGATAAAAACTGCTGAACTTCTTTCATGAAGTTCATGAAATGTGGATTTCTGCCAGTTGTGTATATTAGAAAAAATGAGTGTATTTACAAATGTATGCATACATATATATAATAAAATTAAATGCTGAAGAGCATTCTCATGGGGGCATGCACACATGCATATGTACAGTCTAGCTGAAAGTAAATATGAAAAATCTTACATATTAATATGTAATATAAACAGCATTGCAAACATGTGGCTTAAGTGACCTTATTAAATGACCTTATTAACAGCACTTCAGTTAAAAAGTTAACAGGTTAAAATCTAAAAGGTCAGCATTCCTGGTTCCCTAAATTATTATGTTCCATTGCTTACTTTGAGAAATAGTGTGTTACATAAATGTAATACTACATCCACAGAATGACATAACACCTAACTTCAATGGGAAAAGATCAAAACTCTAGCAGAAAATTGTTGTTTGCCAATTACTCATCTAAATGTATAATGATGATTTGCACCCATCTAGCACCTTTCAACAGAGGGTCTTCTGTTTCTTTTTGCTGCGATTAAACTGGCAGCTGGGAGAGATTTTTAGATAATTTAAACATAAAAAAATAAAAATAAAAACAAAAATTCTCAAGCAAATAGGCAAAACTCCCCAAATTTGGTGTATCACCAAATAATACTCATTGGCATCATGGTGCTGTAAACCACTTGGATATGGCCAATACTGATTTTGTGATAATATAGGTAGGGTCTAGGTGTGAGTTACATATTTTTAAATATGCAAATTTATTAAATAACAATAAATGGAGGTGAATATTCAACTTATCAAAGATCAATGGGGTTTTGAAGCCCCTTTGGAGACACTCCTATACATATGTAGATAGCTTATAAAATAAATACATACTAACAAGGTCAAAAGGCTGGCTGCTTGTCATAGTTTATTAACGTAGTTACCTGGTGTGCCACTGGTTGTGTTTGTGTGTGCACACACACATTTCTTTTAAAATATTCGACTGAACTTCACTTTAATTCAAATTAATGAGATTTTTCTGGTCAAATCAAGATGACTCAAAACATAAAATAATTCCTCGTTCATTTGGCTAATAATAAATTGGCTTTTGGCACTAAACTCATCCTAAGCTCACTATTTTTTCTTATTAAAATTACCTTTATCTGTAGCATAGCAGGCAATGCTATCAAAGCCTTCCAGTCAATTCCTACACTGGTCTTTCACTTACTAATCAGAATGGCCCTAAGCCAGCGTCCAGCAACGTGTCCCCCAAGCTTACATGCATAAACACAGTTTCCACAGGCACTCTTTTTATAAGGAGCATACCTAAAACTCAACCACACTTCACACAAATTCTATGCAGCCCGTTCCTTCACCCCACGTACAAAACCACAAACAAAACCCCACGTACCTGAATGAAACTGAATTCCCTCCAGTTTAAAGCATTGCTCACTGAAGGGATGGAGGTGACTGCCAGGAGGGAGAGTAAGCCCAGGCTCATTATGCCGAAGGAGATATACATTTCAATTCTCCAAACTTCTTCCTCATTCCACGAGTTTTCAATATTTGCATGTACCTAACAAGAGAGCAAATGTGACTTTCCTTTATTTGGTAGAAAGTTAACTGATTCAGCACAGAGTTCACTCTTAGCATAAGAACACGTCACATATGGACATATTGAAGTTGTATTAGTTCAACTTAACAAACTGGTACAGAGAACCTGTTACTGGATGGTATTATTCCAGGCGTGGGAGAAAGAGAACGGAGTGTTACATAGAAAAGAGGACTAAGAGTCTCTCCGTCTTTGCATACTTGTGAGAAGAGTGGGTAAACCTGTCATCACATTTATTTTTTGTTGTTGTTTGGTCGTTATTTTTTAATCCTCACCCGAGGATATGTTCATTGATTTTAGAGAGAGGGGAAGGGAGAGAGAGAGAAGAGAAAGAAACATCAATCACCTGCCTCCCATATGCTCCCTGACTGGGGATTGAACGCTCAACCTAGGTATGTGCCCTGACCGAGAATCGAACCCGTAACCTTCTCATGTACCAGATGCTACAACTAATTTAGCAACCCCGCCAGGACATATCATTACATTTGCAGTGCATCATGGTTATAGGGACTCTGGTGTCCTAAGACCATAAAATGCTGAGGGGTTGGTTTCAGGGTGACCCAGAAGAAATATTGGCAGTTAGATTTAGTTCTGAGGTACTTTCATAAGTTGGTTTATACTTGATTAAATATTTTGGGTATATTCTGGACTTAGTTCAACTTAGAATCCAGGAAGGGAATTTCTAAACTACTTCTGTATGTTATTTTTCACATCAAGAATATTTATATGTTTATTTATCTTCCTTCTTAACTTCTTTTCCACAGGAAGCTGAGATTTTCCTGAGGATAAAACTCAACTGTATGCAAATATCTGTCTACTTGCATTGCCTTATTATTTAATATACTTTTCCAACTGTCCAATTGCCTCATTTCTATACAATACTTTTCCAAGTGTATTTCCTTTATATTGATAATGCATATATAATTAAGTCAGACTTCGTTAACTCTGAATGTATGGTATTCTGCTTAGGGCTACTTTTAGAATAGTCCATTTACATGCAAACAATATCAGAGTATAAATCAAAGATTAGACTCCTTAGGCTAAAGCTTTAAGAATCTATTCATGGAAAATAGATTTTAATTTAACACCAGCTTACCGTTGTCCAGTTCCAGTGAACCAAACGTACTTGAAATTAAAACCAAGAAAAGCTAGAGCTTAGCCATTTGGCCCTGAGAGTTCCTCTGAAGAAAAAAAGCTCTTCCTATCTCCTTGGATTTCTGTACAGCAATACAGAACAACAGCATACCTTGGTAGACCCAAAGGTTACAACCTGGATCTACCTGCCCTCCCAGTTCATTCCTTCATTCCATAAATAAGCTTTCAGAGTGTCTACTATGTACCAGGCAGAATTTTAGGCATTAGGCATGGATCAGTGAAAAAAATGGACAAAGATCCCTCTTCTCATGAACTTACTGAGTAGAGAGTGAAGACAGGAAACATAAAATGGAGTAATTTTAGCCAAGCTGCTAAAACTATTAATATGATGAAGATTGTGGCCTGAGGAAAGACTCCATTCTTGTTCTAAGTAGCCTGGGAACTTAAACTTTCTCGAACTTTCCAGTGCTGCATTAATGCCTGGATACACACCTGGACCTCCAGGTAACCCTCTAATTAGCCACTGAAGGGCTCACTTACCCAGGCCACCTGATTACCCCCTGAAGGACTTTTGTATGCATCCACCTGATATCCATTTTCCAGACCCCCAGGGCCTGACCCCGACCTCGGGTGCCCCTCTTCTAGACCACCTGCTATCTGTCAGGCTGGCTGCTGACCTCGGACTGGTAACTGTTCTGAACCAATCCTAGGGCTAAGAATGCAGGATTGGTAATTCTCAAGAATACACTTTTTACTATAAGAACTCTTAACTTTTCTTCTTTGGGTTTTTGCCTAGCTGCATTCCCAGTTTGAAAACTCCAAGACCCTTGAATAAATCTCTCTCATTTATTTCTCGCAAAGCCTCCAGACTTTTGAGTTTGTTCAGCATTACATTCTGATGAAGGAAGGCAGACAACAAAATATCACAAACAAGGAAAACATAAAGGTGTTAAAAGGTGGTAAATAGCTCTTGACAAGAGAAAGTAGAGCAGAGTAAGAGGCATGGGAGTTTCTGGGGGCTTGAGTTGGGACTAGAATTTAAAGTGCAGGCCTCATTAAGGAGGTAAGATCTGAGCAAATGTCTTGAAGCAGGGAGAAAGCTGGCAGAGCAGATATCAAAGCCTCAGTATTCAGTTAAGAGAAGTAGTATTTTGGGGGAAAGAATGGCTTAAAAAACATTAATGTATTAATTTTTTTCAAATTATTTTAGGTTAAAGTTGTTGAAACAACACATTATGTGCTAAATTCTACATATTTGAACCATAATGTCATGGTTCCTTATTTTAAAAAAAAGCTTCTACACACTTCTTTTGGTGCAGTGTCCTCGGCTTTCATTTAGAAATTCTACATCAGAGAACTTTATCTTAAATTTGCTGAATGGGAATTACCGAGGAAATCATAGTCTACACCATCCTTAAGTTCATTCCACAGAGCTCTCCTTGAGATTTTCTTGAGCTAAGAACTAGAAAATCTTCATCTAAGTAACTACTATCTTTTTCACTTTTGATTAAAAAAACTTTATAAGTGTAAAAGTGTAAAAGGTCTGTCCAGAAGGTATTTGGCCATGGGCTATGAAAAAGAGACATTTATTGAAGAAGATAGAAAATACAAGAAATACTGTACATAGGACAATGATGCCTCAGTCCCCTTCAAAGCAGGCACCTTGGGACCTCACACACTTCTCCCAGTCATCATCAGTTGCCCTGTCATATTTTCCTGAATCTCATCAATAGTCTAAAATGTCTTCCCGCTCAAATGTGATTTTAGCTTTGGGAAAAACCAGAAGTAGCAGGGCTGAGTCACCTGGGTGATTTGATGTTTCACCAAAAAACTCTGCACGAGACATAATGCATGACCGGGCATGTTGTGATGAAGCTGCCAATCACCAGTTGCCCATAGCTGTGGCCTTCTGAATCATTTGAGTAGTTTCCACAGAGGAGTGTTCAAGCATAACACAAAATTTTATGCAGATTCATTGCTCTGCTCACCAGTCATTTTGAATGCTAGGGTGACACAGTACATACTCACTCAACATCTACTGCCTCCACTGACTAGTGCAGTGAAGTCATCACTGTTCAGGCACGCACATTCCAGCCCACTCTCCTTGGCTGCCAGGCTACATCAATGTTTTACAAGCCATTCTTGTTATATTAACAATGGCTGTACTTTTTCTGGACAGATCTGATATGTCTCCTGATCTTGACTTCCTTTTCTGTTTTCCCTGATTCTAATTTTATTGTATTCATTTACTAAGAATTGCTTTAACATTTCATGGAACATAGTCAATTTACAAAACACTAAAATAATGAACTGTTCAGTACTGAAAGCAGTCACTGCAATAATTTTATTAAAAAAGGAAGGAAAAAATCCAATCTTTTATTTCTCTGCTTTTACTCTGCAAAGAAAGGGATGATTGCAGCTTTTACCCTACATGATTTTGCATTAGCCACATAATTCTTTTGCAGAAACATTGTTTAAAAAACAAGACTTTACCTGCCCTAAATATACCAAGGTATGCAAAGTTGTTCCCTATTTTTAATTGTACACTTTAAATTATATTAAGCATCAGATGAATAACAAACACATTCCATACCTGTTGATAAGCCATGTTGAGAAATAAGTACCTTTCTGACCTTCTCATTGGTAAGCAGAGGCTGTAGGCAACATGGACTGAAGCGAAGAAAAAACTTAGTAATCCAAGCTGTTTTCTACACTGTAACCAGGTCTCCAACCAGGGTGGAAATCTCCTATACTTGGTACCATAATAAAGTTGATAAGCAGCTGCTAGGAGACCTGCTAGGTACACCAGTGACAGCAAAGTAATGGCAACTATAGGCAAGGTTTTATTCACAATCTCAATAGGAATCTTGTAGAAGTCACTCTGCTGGTTTCTAGCATATGGATGTATCACATCTCGGACAAAGGAATAAAGAAAGAAAAATGTGGCCAGGCTTATGGCTACCACCACTGGCCCTCTCCAGAGAGTAAATAGTCGCAAAGGTAAATTTTCAATTTCCCTGGCTGATGATAATGATCCCAAGTCAACGGGATTAAAATTCAAATGCCGGGCAAGTTCAATAACCTGTTGTCGAGCTTGAATATTGTTGCTGCAAATATAAACCTGCAGCAAAAACAGAATACACATCATTACTATTGTTGCTTATATTATAAAGATTATATATATTAAAAAAGAACCAATCCTGTAAACATTAAGGAATAGCTCTGCATATTCTGAACTGCATATAAAAAAAAACTAATTCTCAAAAGAAAAGGTAGTGATCTCATGCTGCACTTCATCCATGGAACATCACTTGTGATGGCCGAAAGTGATGCAAAAAAATAAGGAGATAAAGCATTTATTAATTTATTACGTATTAATAGATTAAAATAGTGTCTTTAAAAACAACAAAGTCTGAGCTACCTGAGATGACATGAAAATAAAATGCAAAAAAAAAAAAAAGCAAAAAAATGTAGAACCTCAGATCAGGCAGTCCTCAGGGGAAGGAAGGCAGGAGGAAAGAAAGGTTTCTAGACCATGTGGTTCAGTGGCACTGGCCACTTAAGGTCTCCCCTCAGTGGGGGCGGGGTGGACTTTGAGCTGCTGGCCGAGCCCTTCCTGCCTCCAGCTCGCTCTCTCCCACAGGGAACAGGGTGGGGCTGGCTCTCCAAGCTTTCCTGGATAATATTTAGTTGTTGGACTGTAGTGATTCTGCCTAGTGGAGTGATTACAAGCACCACCCTTTACAGATACTCAGCAAGAGAAAAGGTGGGCATGGACTGTAGACTGAATTTGCAATGAAATCCTCTAAATTATATCATGATGCTGTATTATTTATAAAATTTATCTTTTGGCTTAGAAACCAATTGGCCAAGTATCTCTAAAACACCATCTCAAGTATATTATTTCATTGGTCAGAATATGAGATTCTTTCATCTTTGAATGATGATTCTATCCCTGGAGAGGGAAAAAATGGTATTATGAGGCTTTTAATCATTTAAATGATTAAATTATCATTTAAAAAGTAAATCAACCACCGTTTTCTAGCACTGAGGTGTTAGCTCTGTATGAACACTAATGATGTGGTGAGTGGGGGTGAGGGTGAGCTTCCAAACGACCAAAACCTCTCAGATATACCTACCGATGAGAATTCAACAAATATTTTTTGAGCACCAAATTCACTGCTGGAGTAGGTCATCTCACTTAGGGCTTGAAAAATACTGCTATTAAGTTTCTGAGTAATGTTTGGGGAAAACAAATTCCTAAATAGATCCATCCCTGAAGATGCTTATATAAGGATTCTAGAACAGCCCACACTGAAATGGATTTGCATCTAAATCTATGTACATTATGCTCACAGTGTAAAGCTCTTTGGATTATTAATTTTACCTAGTATAGGCACATAGGTGGCAAAGTCTATGCTATTAAAAAATGTTTGTGAACTTCTAAAATGGAGCGAGGAACAATACCGATATAACAAAGAAATAAGAAAAAGCATTCTAAATCAATTTGTGACAATGGTGAAGTAAACTTTTTTCTTTTTACAATATTTACTGAAAAAATAAATTATGAAATTTTATAATAAACCTAAAAATATAAATCAAACATTCATAACAAGGACATGAGGACTATGAAATACAAATGAAATTATTTCTGTAGCTCACTTTGGATTAAATCATTGTTCCACAATTTTTTGTTGTTAAAGAATAAAGATTATCACAAATATGGGCAAAGGATTACATTCAAGTTCATCCCTAGTTTAGTCTGTACCCATTGCTACACTTTGTTGGGTACGCAAAAGGAAAAAACTGTTCAGAAATAGCTTCTAGGAAAGTTGGGAAATACATATTCTTTCACTAGAATAAAACGAAAGACTTGAAATTTGTTATCGAGACTGATACGCAGCATACGCTGATACAATACTTAAATTTATTTTAACTTGTATTAATACACTTTTTTTATCCTCACTTGAGGACTTTTTTCATTGCTCTTAGAGAGAAAGGAAGGGAGAGAGAAACACATCGATGTGAGGTTGCCTCTGTCAGCACCCAGTTGGGGAACCCACGCCGCACCGGAACCAGCCGCGTCCGGGCCGCAGTCGCACATACCCACGCTGGGACCAGGTGTCTGTCCAAAACCTAGCTATGTGCCCTGGCCAGAAACTGCACCTGCGACATTGTAGTTGTGGGGATGATGCTCCAACCAACTGAACCACACCAGCTAGGGCTTAAATTTATTTTCTAAGGTCCTTAATCAACTGTCTTTAGGGACAAAATAATTAAGGTATTTTATCATCATGCTTAATTATAATGTATTACCACACCTTGAAAAGGATTTTTATTTATTTCATTCTCACCTGAGGATGTGTTTATTGATTTTAGAGCAAGAGGAAGGTTGAGAGAGAGAGAAGGCGGGGAGAGAAAGTGAGAGAGAGAGAGGAACATAGATCAGCTGCCTCCTATATACACCTAGACCAGCGATCAAACTGCAAGCGAGGCCTGTGCACTGACTGGGGACTGGATCGGCAACCTTTGGGTGCATGGGAGGACGCTCCACCTAACCAAGCCACCCGACTGCGCTTGAAAGATTTTTAATGTACACTATTTTATATGTTTATTTATAAAAGCTTTCATTCCACAAATGCATTGATGGAGTACCCCATCTGCTTTAATTTTCAAGTTGAACTAGATAGAACCCGAGATTAAAAGAAAACCTAAGAAATCCAATCTGTCTCTATCTTCCCCACATGGATTAAAATCTACACTTAAAAAAATATGTACTATTTTAATAAGTTCTATGAACAATCCATGTAAAATAAAACGGTATGTACGTCAAAAGCTATTTATATTACACATTAAATAGTATTCTATACAGAGATGGAACACCATTACCAAATAGCTGCAAGAAAAGAAGAGGGAAGCACAAAGAAGAGGGAGGAAAGAAGGTTGGAAGGGAAGGAGGGAAAGCAAAAGGATGTGTTTGCTGTTTTTCTATTTTGAGGAAGGAGAGACTCAATGCAATGTGTCTCATTATTTATCAATCAGCCAACCTTGTCTTTTCTTGAGCTAGCTGGTTGTGACAGAAAAAGTCCAAGTTATTTTCTGTTTTCCACATGACTTTGAGAATAGAAATGTGCTCCTACAAGGTCAGCACATGAACTTTCAGGGGCTCATACATAGCTTTCAAAATGATAATCAGTGGAGGGTGTCAGAATTTGGTTTTTAAATATATGATATCTGTTTAACTACATAACTATAAAATACCAGATAAGAATAAAATTTAAAAATACCTACCTGCCTGCTGGCATCCTTAGGCCCTAACTGAAGTGCCCAAGCTGAGATAACATTAAATCCTTTGACAATCAGCGAATCTGGGAATAAGGAAGCCAAATATTCAGCATTGGATTCTGGGTATTGGTTTATCCTCATGTTATTGCTCACATCAATCAGGATTTTACCCACAAGAAGATGTCTCAGGTCCCACAGAGAGGTGTAATGTTCTCGATGTATAGCAATAAATATTATATTCGTTTTTGTTAGTGCATCTTCATGATGAGTGACATCTACCACATGAGGAAAAAATTCAGAAGCAAATTTAGGATTTCTACTTCCTATGACCACATGATAGCCACATCTAATAAGTCGGATGGTCAAGGATTTGGCAAAATCCCCACTTCCAATTACACCTACAGTGACCTTCCTTGCATCTTTGATACCATTTATGCCATTAGGCAAAAAAGTTTCACTGAGGCTCTTAGGGCTTCCCATCATAGAGATCGATTCCATGATACAGACTCTTCCAAGATCACAGGGATATCCTAGGGGACAGAAAATAAAATGTTCATCAATTACCTCTTACCAAACATTAATACACTTCTAGACATCATAATATATCCCTTATTTCTAGAGGTAAAATATTTCGACAAGCTGTATCACCTAGAACACAGCAAGACACAATCTGTAAGCTAAGAGAGGATCTCAAAACAGAAAAATGAACTGCCACAAAGTTGATATGTTCAAGTGGAGCTTATCAAGTTTTAATGTGCACATTGTTAAAACATCGATTCTGATTCAGTAGTTCTGAGGCCCAAGATTCTGCATTTCTAATAAGGGGAGCTGATACCGCTGGTCTGCAGACCCCTCTGAGCAGCAAGGCACTAGAGCACAAAAGGAAGAGACGGAGGTCTTCATTTAGAGCTTTTTAAAAGCACAGTTCTAACAAGCTTGATTATCCCATTTCTCAGCAGATCAGAGGCAGCAAATCAGAAAAGCTGCTAGAGGTAGAACGGGCTATGATAGGACGTGATAACACAAGGGACAACAGAGACAGAAAAACAAAGAGCCCTGGCCAGGTAGCTCAGTTGGTTAGAGCATCGTCCTGATGGTAAAGGTTGCAGGTTTGATCCCTGGTCAGAGCACAGAGAATCAACCAGTGAATGCGTAAGTGAGTTGGAACAACAAATCAATGATTCTCTCTCTCAAATCAATACATAAAAATAATTTTTAAAAAACTACTTAAATTCAAACTGTCTAGAGTCATTAGGGGTGAAGTCTATAAACTATCCTATATACCTTAGTGGCTAGTGAGTGAGTTTATTAAATGAGAGTAAGATAAATCTGCTACTAAAAAATGAAACTTGGTACTTAAAATCTTAAGAAGAATGGTCATCAAAATATAACAAAGGATAAATGAAATATCCTTGGTTTCTATCATGCACCCTCTATGCTATAACATCACTGAGAGAGAGAGCTTCTCCATGAAAAGGACGTTAGTAATGTGTTTATAGTCTTAAATTTTGCAATACTTATAAAATCTTTTTCTTCTCCTTTTACTCATTGGTGGAATAGAATATGATGCAGTTACTCTTTCCGGAAAAAAATTTGTCAAATTCTTTTGTAAATGACTAATGTCTGAAATGTTCATAATAACTTGCTCAAGAATACCAATAAGATTGCTATGAATCAGTTTCGCTAATTGGACTGAATGAAAATAGTCTTCCTTTCTCTCCCCATTGCACAATTTCTTTTCTGCTGAAAGTAGATGTGGGTCACTTCAGAGGATTTAATGGATTTTACAGGGATAGTAGAATATTTCAATAATGTGGTTTTGGGGCTTTTACTAAATGAAATTTGAAATTACTAGAGCCAGGAATAGTTAACTTTTTACCCTAGAAATGGATCACATCCCTTGACTCCAAAAAAAAACCCCGGTAAATTATTCTGTAGAAAGACAATATAATACTACCTCATACGCCTTATAGCGCATCTTTGTCAGCTTTGTTTGTGCTTTATACATTAACTGACTGAATCCCCATAACCACCCTAGGAGACTGCTGCTAAGACTGTCAAGCCCATTTTGAAGATGAAGAAACCGAGACATGCAGAAGATAATTAATTTCTCTAAGGTCATAAGAGAGAAAGTGAGGGAGCCAGGATTAGAATCCAGGCAGTTCAGCTAAGGCATGTGTCATCAGGGCGTATGTAAGGAACTTAAGAAAGGGCTTTTCCTATGGGCATGGGGGGAAACGGGGAGAGTTGTTCTCATACCGGTATATTCTTCTTTGGCCGTATCATTACTCCTCAGCATTACCCAGTCTAACTCAGATCCCGGGAAAGGAAAAAGCTCACTGTTTTTAATCTATTCTATATGCTTCACACTTCTCAAGATGGAAGGGATGGTAATTATCTGCTTCCCCGTGGAGTGATTCCAGGCACCCAGAAGGCCAGGAGGGGCCCAGGTGCACCAGGGCAGTACAAAAACACCAACGTCCTCTTGGAGAAATTATGGGCTATATCTTGTTTATTCAGGAGCAGTTTAAAGAACCAGAAGTAATTTAATGAACGATCATTTCATTCAACAATTCAAGGTGAACTGACCAACTTACCCCTAGTTGTATACGTTATCTAAGGGTACAAGGGTTATTAGACTCACACACAGGAACCCAAATGTCCTATACTCCAGTCCTGACTTCTGAGTAGAGATTGTAGCATCTCCCAAAATATAAGATTGAAAAATCTTTAAATCTTAGAAATCATGATGATCAAGGCCTTTTTAAACTAAAAACAAAACACAAGCAAAACAATTTATCAGTTATCTGCTTATTTTATGAAGCAAATTAATCCCTTCAGTAAATCAGAATGTGAACAGGTGAAAATACATTTGGACCTAATAATGTCACCTATGGGCCTCTCATTATACTATGTATTTTTATACGTATTTCTAGGTGACTATCCTAACAGGTTTGGGGCTTATTTGTATTATGTTTCTAATGGCAAGTTCTAACTGAACCTTTAAATGGTGTGACTGTGACTACAAATAAAAATTGGCCTGATAAATGAGACTCTTTTTATTATAGTTTTAAGGATATTAAAGTATCCGAGAGAGAGAGAAAGAAAGAAAAATGCCTGTAAAGGATCTGAGAGACGGGTTATTTGTGTATTGTTGAAGGCATAAAATGCTAAAATATGCTTGTGTGCTATTTAATAGTTCACAATGTTTTTATATATAATGTTATCTTATTAAAGTCTAGAAGGGTAGTGGAGTATGTATTATGCCCATTTAGAAGATGAGGAAACAGTCTGAGAGAATTTGAGTGATTTTCTTAAGACAATGCAGTTTGTAGTGACCCAACTGGGATTCAAATCGGAGTCTTCCCACCTCTGCTCATTCTAAAACTGCAATGCACACATCTTATGGGGAATCTTTAAAATGTCTAGATCTTCAGATGTCACCTGCAACTATATACTTTGAAATCAATACTAACTTTAAATAGTTACAATATGAGTCTCAGCTTAGGATAATTTTACGTAAAAGCAGAGCTAGACACTTAGGAATTCTAGTTACAAAATGAATAGAATGTTGAAATAATTCCCAGTTTTGGATCAAAACCAACCGAAGAACTGAATTTATTAATACTACAAGAACAAAACATGAATGGTTGCTGGGTAACTTTTGAAGAACCCCAGCTGGCAACCCATTTGTCTTCTGGGGACTCTGCAGACCACCCTGCTTTCAGCGGGAGGGAGGAAGAAAGGAGAAAGAAAAGTGTCTGTATCCTAGGGAACTCGGCTGTACACAGACCTAAGTGCAACTCATCTCCACAAGCTACGCTAACTATCTGGTGCTGAGACGCTGGAGCAAAATCTCATCAATCAATTTCTAATTTGTTAAACTACCATTTGGATCACTTGGTTAACAGCTGAGTTTAATTAGCACTTTTGATATCCATAAAAATGGGGTTACAAAAAAAAGAATAATGTCAATATCTGAAGGAGGTTTACCTAGTATTTACAAAAAAGAATACTAAAAACCTTACAGTGTACATTTCCATTGACAAGAAATGATGCGACTGTAATGTAAAGACAGATCTACCCTTCTGTGACACAGCGTGAATTTATTGAGGCCACTGTGTGCTTTGTATGTGAGAGATAAAGGACAAAATAAGTATGGTGCTTACACTCAAGAAATTTACATTCTAGTTAGGAAGAGACAAGCAGAATAAAAAGCAGAAAAAACCTCACATCATCATATAATTGAGAGCTAGATTGTACGATTAGAGCGTAGTTACTCTGAAAATCAGGGAACAGAAAAACCACATGGTGTTCCCTTAACTCAAGCCATCCATATATGTATAAAACTGTACTTACAAAATAATCTCTAAATTACACAGGACTGGCCCTGGCTGGGTAGCTAAATTGGTTGGAGACCTGTCCTGGTTCGCCAAGATGGCGGGTTCAACTTTGGTCAGGGCACAAGAAGCAACCAATGACTGAATGAATGAGTTAAGTGGAACAACAAATCTCTCTGTCCCCCCCCCCTCAAATCAATAAATAAAAATAATAAAAATAAAAACAAATTACACAGGACTACTTCAAGCCATGTTGATGACAGTGCACTGCAAGTTCATTCACGCTATAAGGACTGAAAGTTAAATTTGGCTTTCTGTGACCTTACCTTAAAAGTGCTAAGACATCGGCTTCCAAATAGAAAGTCACCAAATATAAAGTACATGGAACAACTAAATATTAAAAAAAAACAACCCCAAAACCCTAAATAATCTGACTTAAAAATGGGCAGAAGATCTTAATAGACATTTTTTCATTATCTGCGAAGACACACAGCCAGCCAACAGGCACATGAAAAGTTGCTCAACATCGCAATGAGATACCACTTCACACCCATCAGAACGACTATTAGCAAAACAAGACAAAAAATATCAGGTGTTGGCAAGGATGTGGAGAAAAAGGAAACCTTGTGCACTGTTAGTGGGAAGGTAAACTGGTGCAGCTACTGTGGAAAATACTGAAACTAAGATAATATTGTTAAGTCAATTATACTTCAATACATTTTTAAGTAGATGGGCATACTAGGAAGTTTTCCACAAAACTATTCAACTTAAAGAATTGTCCTTTACTCTGAGAGTAAGTCTTTACTACTTTTTTGTGGACAAAGTGTCCTTTTTTCATAAAAGTATTGTGGGAACAGTTGCTTGAGTTGGCAGTCCTATAAAGACTCCCTCTCTCCTTCATATTTTACTGGTCTGCAAAGTCTGCAAGTCTGAGGGCCACTGACTTAAACATTCAGAAGCTCCCTATATGAAAGTGCCCTTTAAACCTGATGGAGAGAAAACCTTTCTGGAGAGGAGAGGAAAGTTCCCTACAGGTGTAGATGTCTGCCTAACACTCAGGTGAATACATTCTGGAGGTGAAATATCAAATCTCCCCATCTCTGTTTCTATAACTTAAGTGGTAATTTTATTTTCATAACCTCTCAATTGCCAAAGATAACCTAAATTCTCTTGGTATTGAAATAAATAAAATCCAACTGTTTATTTAGATCTATGACAGTATAAAATTGCTTTGAGGGAAGAGGTGGTTTT